CTTGTTATAATCACACTCCCACACTTGAATTTTTTATGCCAATTTTCTCTTAAAATGTGAATTCATACATAAGGAACCCTATACGTATGAACATTTCGCGTAGGTCAACAGTCATACCAATGCGACAGAGCGTTCGCTATAAACTGAGGGATGTGGGTTCCACCGTTCTTAGAGGATATGTGAGTAGAAGATGCTTCACAATTTAGACAAAGATTTTAGTAGTGAAAAGACTTACAAACTTAATGCACATTATTTTATTTCATCTTTTAAATCTTCGGTAACAAATATTTTGGGAGTTTTTTGTTCCCCAAATCCTAACAAGAAGAAGAAGGGCCAACCTTGTGCTAAGTCACCTTTTGTTAATAATTTAAATAAAAGGAGGTTACTTTTTAACACTTTTTTAAAATATTTTTTAATTATTAATTAAAATTTATAAAAATATTAGTATAAGATTTTTAAAAAACTCAAATAATTTTCAATATATATAAGAGCTTGTTAATAAGCTCAAACATTAGCTTTACACGGATGTGTTGGAAGAAGTCCCAATATAGATTGAGAAGTTTGTAAACGAAGGATCGATGAATCAATTCTCTTATGTCATAAGAATTTAAGATACGTTTTAAAAAGTTTAAAATAAGATAATGAAAATAGTTTGTAATTTTTGTGATTTTTTTAATTTACTTGAATAATTTTTTAACTTATTAAAATAAATTATTAAATTTTAAAAAAATTATCTAATTAATTTAAGGTTTTCTTCCCTCCAAATTTTCATTGAGTGAAAAAAAATATCTCTTTTTTTCTAAATATTGAATTAAACTTTAAAAAAATTATAAAAATCTCTCTCATCCCGTTCCATGTGTTTTCTTCCAACTGAACATTATGAAAAATAAAAATCTTACCCTATATTTGGTTTTGTAAGAAGAAAATGAAAGGTGAGAAAATTTTCAAAAATTTTAATTAAAAAATTAAAAATATATATATATTTGTTTTGAAAGTCAATCTTTTTATATTCTCTTTGTTTTCTCCACCACTAAACAAACAAAAAAATCAACAATTGTCGATATTTTCTTTCTTCTTATGTTAGTTATTTTATAATCTTTTTAGAAGTTATTTGTAGTTTTTTAGAGTTTTTTAAATTTATGTTCGCTACAACTTCTTAGATTAAGGAGATCAACAAGAATTCTAAAATAAGTTGAGAAAACACTTTGATAACACAAGCTTATAATTTATGTAAGAATTTATACTTTTTTTAGTTAATAAGTTGGAAGAATTATTTGGTGAAAAAAATAAAAAATATACATAACTTTTAAAAGATAACTTATAAAAATTTATTCCAAGTAGCATTAAATTTATTGGAGGGTAACTATTATTTTTTTCTATTTTTAATCTTAAATTTTAAAATAATTTACACTTAAACAAAATAATTCTGTTTTTTTAATCATTTAACACATTTTATCCAGTTATATATTAATTTATCAAATAGCTCTTATTCATTTAATTGTTATATATTAAAGATATAAAATATAACAAACATTTTTAGATGAATTATTATTATTATTATTATTATTATTATTATTATTATTATATTTTAAATCATTTTTAATTTTTTTAAAAATATTATAACATTATATTTTTATTATTCATTATTATTAATATTTATTTTTACAGATTTAAATTAAAATTTTTATCATCAACTATTTTTACTAATAATAAGTTAAAAAATTAATAAATATTTTTTAAAAGCTTCTATAAAATATAATATAATTAATAAAAATTACTAAAACTTTTCAAAATGTACTAATTTAATGCAATAGTGTAGTACAACAAATTAATTTTAATTTTAAAACTAAATTTATTAATGTATTAAAAATTAATTTTGTCTTAGATTTAAAACTAATTTAATGTAAAATATTAGATTTATAATTAGTTTCAACTAAAACTAAATTTAAAATCTGGACTTTTTAGTCTCGTTCATTAGAAAAAAATAAATTTAAAAATAAATATAAATTTTAAAACTAATTTTAAAAAATAAAATAATTTAAAATCCAATCAAGAATAGTTGTAGTGATTTTCTGTATATGTATTACCATTTGATTAGTTGGTTTGACACTAGTTAAATATTTGCGATTACAAAGAACTTACTAGAATACAAGTTACTTAATCGCGTTTCAAACAATTGCATTCACTTTGTCCTCTCATTTCTTCCCTTTTATTTTTCTCTAACTTCAAGTTGTCATGTCTTTCAACATTACGAAGATATGAACCTTCAGGCACCCCCTGGAATGAGCAGCTTATTGCTCGTGGATTCTATGAAGTTCACACTGTTAATTGGAGAGTAGTAGTTGTTTTCTTTGTTTTCCTATTAATATGGTAAAAGAAAAATGTTTAAATATCGGCGTTCAAACATAAAAAAATCTTAGCCAAACACCAGGTGCGTACTAATTGAGATTTTATTTTATTCTTATATATATATATATATATATATATATATATATATTCTACGGAAATAAATGCGTGTCGATAGAGATGGTCAAAAAGCATCGAGCTCGTGCTTGAAAATATAAGTTATCAAAATGTATAGTCTACAAGGTGATGTACTGTATTTGTCTCTTTTTGTTTTAATATCATCAATGCGTTAAGTTTCAAAATTGGTGAACTTTTTTCTAACAAGGCAGTGGGCGTAATATTTCGCTTAATTTCAAAGTGACGTATTGAAAAAATATATATTTGGAATATATGTTCTTCCTTAATTACTTTACATAGATTTGTTCTCCAAATTCAACAGCCTCCACCACTACTTCAATATATTCGTCTTGCTTCTGCATGTTTTGTTTTGTTTCTACGATATTTTGTTCCTTTTTCTTCCATTTTATATTCTCTTACTATTGGGAGAAGATACGTAAGATGAAAAAAATACGAGTATACTCAGGTTGATTTAAGGTCGGTTGAATGAACATTCATTTATAAGTAAATTAAAGATAAACTCGTTTTCTGTGAGTGTGTGTGTGTTTTAAACTTTTTTTTATAGGCAGAATTTATTTATGAAAATACAATATGTACTCCATTTCATATACAAACTATATATATATATATATATATATATATATATATATATATATATATGTTTTTTTAATAGTAAAAGCAAATTCAATTTTAAAGATAAAATGTGTTTGTTTAAATGTTAAAATAGAGAATAAAGATCGACTTCATGCATGTTGTAGAAAGGAAGGACAAATTGTCAAGCTTCGTTGCTATTAGATCGACCATCAAAGGTTGAATGGAATTATAAGTAAAAAAACAGCATTGGCCATCAATGGTGCATGCATGTCTCTTTTTAATATATAGTATTTTAATAAAATCGACCAAAAGTTCGAGTGGCCATTTCTTCACTTGTCGATGTCGTTGCAAACGGACGGAGATCGACAGCAGGCTGACGCCGCCAGAGAGAGAGAGCCGTTTCATGCCGCCAGAGAGAGAGCCGTTTCATGCCGCCGGAGAGAGAGAGAGAGAGAGAGAGAGGAATGAAAAGGCCAGCTTCTCTTGTTTTTCTTTTAATATTAGAGTCATGACTAGTTTAGTAATACAAATTTGACCTAAGATTAAAAAATAGATTAAATTAAAAAATGTTTTGTATAAAATATCATTTTTTAAACTTATATAAGGGAAAAATACATTTTCATTTTAATTAAAAAATGTTTACAAATTTGTTTTAACCATTTTTTTCAAATTATAATAATCTAAAAGTTTTTCTATTAAATAGTAATTAAAACAAAAAGAAGTTGGCTTTAATATAGGGAATAAAAAAAATTCATTTTACGGTCAAAGTACAATTCTTTTGTATAGATTCTTTAGAACTAAAATATTAAAAAATGTTATTAATATAAAGACTAAATTTAACTCAGTTATGATATCAAGAAAAAATAATACTAAATCTAATAAGCAAAATTTAAATTTAACCATTAAAATGAAAGCATAGGATTGTTATAAATGTAAAGTTTGACATTTTGTGATAATTAATCTTTTCCCGTTCTGAATTTTATTAATATCCTGTCCCATTCCCATTAACATACATTTTTTTTACTTAAACAAATTACTCAGATTATTTTATAATTGAAAATTTCTTTTACTTTCTAATAAAAATATATTTAAAAAAAGTATATAATTCAAATTAATTTATGTATATATTAATTATATTTAATAATTTAAATTTATTTTTTAAACTTTTTGCCTAGAACATAGATATCTTTTACCGTTTACAATCCGAACAACTACTGTCCAATTGGTTCTAATACCTTTATCATTTAATTATAATTACTCTCATTTGGCTATTATGTATTATTATTTTGATTAATGAAATTTCAAATAATACCAAACGAAATAGACAAGGGTTAGAACAACGTGGCATGATTTCCACTGTTTCTTTACTTTTTATCTAACCAACCAAATAAATTTTTCCTGATTCGTGACTTTTTCATACCGATCATTTTCGTACTATTGAACAGTACTACTGTCTCGATTATAACACTTCATAGTAACACGTATGAGAAAAAATAAAATGTAAATACGTACGCAACAGGAATTATTGCAACCTGCAAGAGAAATGATCCTTCTTAATTTATTTGTAACAAAAAAATAATTTTTTTTAAGATCACAGATTTTTTTTTCTGGATGTAACTTTTCAAATATTTAAGAAAATGACGCTTTATTTATCAAAAACAAACATTGCAGCCAATAAGAAAATCCAATAATTTTACACATAAATATTAATTTAATAATCATTACACAGAGACGGATAGCACAGGAAATGTGAATAGATAATAGCAGCCACTGTTGGCTATCAATTTGTCCTTTTCGACAGCATGACAATGATATAAAAATAATAATAAAGAAATGGTGCAGCTTAACTAGTATATAAATGGATCAAGGTTTCGGGATCATTAGGTGCTCTGCTAAAGTGCTTCTCTTGCAGAGGGCCCTTCTCTCTGTTGTACAGCTTATAGTGAGAGAAACCTACTTTTTAGAGTGCAAAAAGATGGGAAGAGCCCCTTGTTGTTCTAAAGTTGGGTTGCACAAAGGTCCATGGACTCCTAAAGAAGATGCATTGCTTACCAAGTATATTCAAGCTCATGGAGAAGGCCTATGGAAATCACTACCAAAGAAAGCTGGTAATTAAGAGTTAAACATGTTAATTTGCTAATTCATTTCTCAATTTTATGTCTCATGTTTTTCTTTGATGGGGTGGGTTTGGTTTATTTAAGTTAATATGTTATTCATTTTATAACTACATAAGTAATCACTGATTCATAATTCTGCTTGAATATTCAGGGCTTCTTAGATGTGGAAAAAGTTGTAGACTTAGATGGATGAACTATCTAAGACCTGACATAAAGAGAGGGAACATAACCCCTGAAGAAGATGATCTTATAATCAGAATGCATTCACTTTTGGGAAATAGATGGTCCCTCATAGCAGGAAGATTACCAGGAAGAACAGATAATGAAATAAAGAACTATTGGAATACTCATCTTAGCAAAAAGCTGAAAAATCATGGAACAGATGACAATAACACACAGAATATGTTGTTGGAAAATCCTCAACCCCAACAAGAACCTGCCACAGGGAACAAAAAGAAGAGCAACGGTGGCAAAAAGAAGAATAAGCATAAGAACAAAGACACGAATGCAGAGCCACCCAAGACCCAAGTTTATTTACCAAAACCCATTAGAGTGAAAGCCTTGTATTTACCAAGAACGGATAGTAACACCTTCACCTTTGAGTCCAATTCAGCTAGCGCATCAACAAGCCATGAAAAGGAAGAAAGCCCGTTAACAAAAGAATCAAATGTGCTTTGTGGAATTGATGACGATGGTTTTGGCTTTTTTGGTGAGGACCATGACTTAGTCAACACATCAGATGTTGAATGTCAATCTTATTTTGCCACGGATCATGGCACGCTAGAGAAACTCTATGAAGAGTATTTCCAAATCTTGAACATGAATGATGATCATACCCAATTTGAGTTGGATTCCTTTGCGGAATCTTTATTGGAGTGAAAAAATAATGCTAATGATATTGATCCCTCGTACATGTTACTTTATATTTGTATAATTTTCTATCATCTAATCTCATCTCGTTACATTTTGATAATTACGTCACTTATGTTATATAATGTATGTAATGTGCACTTCTTAGTATATGCCCTGCGTCGTTCTGCCTAAAAACGATCATGAAGAAGAAAGAAACAAACCAAGCACGTGTATAGAGATCTTTTCCTTTTTAACTTCATAGGAAAATCAATAAACTTTTCTGAAAGTGAAATGTTCGAAGCTTGCTTCTCACGTGCGTACTAAGGTTTTTGTTATTTTCTTGTTCTCTTTATGTTCACATAAATCAAAAGAGTGGTATGCTGAATTAGTGTGTTTTAATCATAAATTTTTATATGGTTACTAAATTATCATGGTCTTGACTGATAGCAATTCAACATGTATATATTTTTTATAAAAAATAATAATAAATTGAATACGTGACAAGGCATTAATGGTGGAACCACATGATTTGGATTATTTAAAAAAATTCGTCTTTTAACGGATATTTTTTCTATTTATTTCATTTGTTATTTTTCACAAGATATATATATATATATATATACACTTATCTTTCACTTTTAAAATTTTGAAACAAACTAACTATTTTTTTTCAATTATACTCTTAATTTAAAATAAAAATAATTGATAAGAAAATTTTAAAAGAATTATAGAAAATTATAATAATAAAAATGATGTCTTAAATTAGTATAAAATTTGATACAAAACCTTAAAGTAACAGATAAAAAATAGAACGAATATTATTTTGTTGACATAAACTATTTTAAAAACTGATTGAACTGAAAAATCGGAAAAAAAATCAGTTATTCATCTAAAATGCACGACGACATAATAAACATTTTCATGATAAATTGTATATTTATTTATTATTCAATTAAGTAGCGACGTAGGACATTTAAAACGAATTCAATTCATGTTTTCTACCTAATCAAATTTAAATGAGTTTTGTAGTAAACAAGATGTTTAAAATTGTAGTCTGACTATTCTCTCATTAAAATTGAAATTAATTTTAAGGTTTAATATAAAGTAATACGGAGTACCCTCTAAATGCATCAACCATTATATCTAATTCTGAGCTGATTGAATATGGCCTTAAAATAGCTCCCATACCAATTCTTACGTTTTTATTTAAACTATTAAAAAATTCCAGATTTGATCTATCATAAGCTTTTTTTATAACAACAAATTCACCCCCAGCCAAATCGATAAACGAACTCTTTTACATATGCAGGTTGTGTTTTACAATGATTTTGTTTTTCAACTCAACTATGATTCATGAATACTTAAATAATATTGATATCTATTTAATATTTTCTTCTTTATTAATTATATTTTTGTTCTTCGTGAATGCTTCAATCGACGTCTGCAAAATATTTTACTTTTCAACTTACTGGCAACGTGCTTGGAATTGTCGTTCCCTAAAAGTTGATCCGAAATTTCAGCGAGAGGAAGTGATAGTTTAGTAATGTCATGCGATGTAATCATACATCGTACACCTGTACTCTTTAGTTTTATTTATAAAAAAAATTAATATTTTTACATATGTATAAATATTGATGAATTGTGCGTTTATTTCTTATAAACAAGTTAGAGATAGAATAAGTAAATGTTGGATATGAGAAACTACTTTTTATTTTTCTTATTTTTATATGAATATTTAAGAAATAAAAACACGCATATAATTAAAAATAAAAGTATTTATTTTTTCAAATCCAAATAGTTCTTCCTTAGTTTTTAGCGCAAGTTACAGTTATGTTCTCAGAAATTGTAACTACAATATTTATCAAACATGTAAACTTTCTCCAGAGGAGCATAGCATTGAAACATTTTGTTATTTTCTAAACATTTAGGCTCGGATCAAACTTTGCTTCTGTTTAATTAGAATTAGTCAATAAACTTTTCATTTAATCCAGGGCCTGCAAACTTGGCTCGAATAAATTATTGATATTATTTTCTTTTGGATTTAGCGGCAATTCAGAGAGGGAGCAGGACATTAATTACAGTAGCAAAGACGATACCATTATTGGGAATTCATGAGATGGTTATAAAGAATTGTGAAAAGCTTTTAGATTTGTGCATTACAATGGAAACACCAAGAAAGTGCGTAGATAAAATTAGATTCAATGGAAACAACTTTTTCTTCTGGTTTAAGACTAACCAAAAAATTTATATATTTATTACCATTACATTATTTTAGGTAAATTTTTTTCCATTAAAAGAATCACAAAACATATATATTCTGGTATTTATTGCATATAGTTTAATAGAAGAAAAAGGTGGTCCTTAAACTGGGCATTGAATGGATTTTGGCAAAAAGGCAACCTACTTTACTGACTAGTCAATTAAAAAACGAGAATCAACACTAACATAAACAAAAGGTGGCATGCTACCAACTTGAATGGCCACTAGCTATAGTCTCGTGTGAATCTTTGCTATTTAGCATTCGGATTTGCAATATAATCTGCAGGCAATTAATACTAATATTGGATCTTAGCCCCGCCCCTCCTTCTAAACAAAATAGTTCCAAATATTTTATTTTATTAAATAGACAGTTTTTGAAAATGTTATTTTTCAATGAATAAAACCTCCTAAAACACTTCTATAAAAAAAAATTAATTTGTGTTTAGCTCATTTCAAAAAAGAAAAATCAAATCTATCATTAACTTAGTGCTAGAAATAAATTTTTAGAGCACTAAGTTAAACAGCAGTTAGTAAAACTGCTTTGTAACTATATATTTAGAGAGCAGTTCTCTATTAATCACTCTTTGAGAGTAATTCTCTATTAACCGCTCTCTAAAGTCATTAAAGTTGTTTATAAATGAAATACATTCAACGTATTTTTTCTTCTTACCTAACAAAGTTTGTCTCTTTTACTGTAAGTTTTGTTCTTTTCTCTGCTCTCTTATGTTTTCTTTTTTTTTTCTATTAACCTGCTTTCTTCGTCTTCTCTCGCTAACAAATTAATTTTTTTTCCTCACATCTATAGGTACTTCTTCATTCTCTGTTAATCTGCTCTCTTCATCTTCTCTACGCTAATAATTAATTTTTTTTTTTATATCTATAGATACCTCTTCATTCTTTGTTAGCTTGCTCTCTTCATATTTTTGTACTAACAAATTAGTTTTTTTGCACATCTATATGTACTTCTTCATCTTCTCCTTCTTTCTTCTTCTCTTTGTTAATGGTGAATCATCAATTCTCTCTTTCTTTCTTTTTTTCTCTCTATTAACGTTAAAAATTATCCTACTAATTTGTTCTTTTTTTTTTCTGTTTGTTTCATGTAGATGTAGATTATTTGGTTAACACTAAACAAATAAACTCAAAATTTAATTTTAAATTTCAGATTTGCGGTCTACATTTATACTTTGGAAAGCGGTTCCACGTAGAACCGCTCTCTAATCTTACACCTATATTTTGAAGAGCGGTTCAGCGTGGAACCGCTCTCCAATTTTAACTTTTAAGAGCAGTTGTTTAACTGCTCTCTTAAATATAAGACATTAGATAACGTAAAATTTTAGAATAGTTCTAAGCTCTCTAATTTAAAACAGAATCGCTCTCAGATCTTCATTCTGGTACAGTGAAAATATTAAGTTAATACAAGAGTAACTGAAACTTGTGTTACTATACTTAATAGTTGATCATAACATTAAATTGTGTCAATGTAACTGATATATATATTATTTGTATTTTTTTTATACACTTAAACTATTTAAGAAAAATTATAATTTAATGATTTTATTAACAAGATTTAATATTTACAAAGAGTGAGAGTTACCCTATAATAAATTACCCAAACCCATGACCATGGCTACCGATGAAAAAATCAGCAAAGGAATTGTCCGGTCCCTGTAGAGTCATTTTTTATTTTAAGCTTTGAAAATCCAGTCTAATTTTGTATTTATTTAACTTAAAAAACATAATTTCAATAAAATTAATTTTAAACTGTTAAATTCGGATTAAAATTTATTTAAATTAATTAAATAAATTTTTTTAATTTCAATAAAATTCGGATTAAAATATATAGGAATTATTGTCTATCTTTAAAACAAACGGACCTTATCATCAAGAAAGCAATAGTTTGGTTTAATTATACTCTTTTTTATCCATATACTTTGAATTATGTGTATTTTGGTCTCTCATCTTTCTAAAGTTAATCAAATCTCTATTTTTAAAACTAATGTTAGCGTAATATAGCATATTAGTAATAAATTTTCTTCATATTTTTATTAATAGTTTAGTTTTGAATATTTCCAAAAAATCTTATATCATCCGCCTCATTTTCTACGCTTTGAAACACGTTTATAAGAATATTACGAAGGTCGATCATTTATGGTTCACTTAGACTAGGTTAGATTTATATTAATTCAAACTGATGTTGAATACATCTTTAGTTTTTTTCACTCAATTTTTATTTAATAAGTGTCAAGTTCAAGAAGTTAAGATTATTTCAAGTTAACTGGAAATGAGGTGTCAAACTTCAGTTTTTGTTTCTATATAAAATATTGTGTGGACCGAAATCATTTTCAAAATATATGTTTTTTTAATTAATGAAAGAATCGTGTAATATATACCTTGAATACAACTCTGGTCTAGGCCTGTGTTTAAAAACTATATTTACTAATTAGAAAATGACGATTGACTGTGCTACGCTCCAACCATATATATAGAACAGTTACATCATTGCATGAAAATATATTATTGATGTTTTACGTTTCATATAGGTTTATGATTTACATATAATCATGATTACGTTATAAAATATGTTCCAGTTAATATATGCACATGGACAAATTAAAATAAGAGTCGGCTTCATATTTACGTATTTAGTTTTATCACGCACGTCAAGCTTTCTTTAACTATAGTCAAATTAGAAATAATAGTCTACTAAGGTATATTTTTAAGTTGAGTTTATGCACTATGGTCAAACTATTTTAAGTTTTGTACACGAGACTCCTTTGTTCACGTCATAATT